TATATATATATATATATATATTAATTACACCTGTAATGATCGATTGTACATTTAATATATCTAACTTTAAACGTATAGGTAAACACCTGAGATGTAAGCCGGTTTTCATACACAGCCATTAATTTTCAATTCGTTTCAATATCTCTCTCTATCTTCCCCGCTTTCGCTCTTTCTCTCTTTCGCTCGTTCTCTCACATACGGAAGCACTAGAGAGAGAGAGAGAGAGAGAGAGGGGAGAGAGAGAGAGAGAGAAAAGCGAAAGAGAGAGAGAGAGAAAATCGAGAGAGAAAGAGAGAGAGAGAGAGCCTATACATTGAGGATTTATTTATTTATTTTTTTGTTTTTTTTTACGGTTTATTAATCCATTCTGGGTTATTTAATTCGGAAATATATTTTTGACTGTAGAAACAATTCTTATTTCCGACTGAATATTGCATTAGCGTTTTGTTGGCGATATCAATGTTTTTTTGGTGATATCAATGTTTTTGGCGATATCAATGTTTTTTTATGGCGATATAAATGATTTTTGGTGATACCAATGTTTTTTGGCGATATCAATGTTTTTTGGCGATATCAACGTTTCTTGGCGATATCAATGTTTTTTGCGATATCAATTTTTTTCGTGCTATCAGTGTTTTATGGCGATGTAAATGTTTTTGTCAATATGAATGTTTTTATGACGATATAAATGTTTTTGGCGATATAAGTGTTTTTATGGCGATATCCATGTTTTTTGGCGATATCAGTGTTTTTTTGGCGATATCAATGTTTTAATGGCGATATTAATGTTTTTTGGGGATGTCAATGTTTTATGCCGATATCCATATTTTTGGCGATATCAATGGTTTTTCCAGATACTGACATTAATTTTCACTTCGTTTCAATATCGCTCACCATCACCTTTCTTTCTTTCTTTCTTTCTTTCTCTTTCTCTTTCACACAGACACTTGCTAATACCTCCTGACGAGTGGACCGAACGATTGCACAAAGGTTCCTCTACGAAACTCCGGAATAGAGGTGCTGAATATAAAATCAATCAGCTAAGTGACACATTTTATATTTGTATTAATCGTATATATAGGGATACTGAAGGTAACATCAATCAGATAAGTAACAAATTTTACATTAATTTATATTTATATATATATATATATATATATATATATATATATATATATTTGTTGGCGATATATATATATATATATATATATATATATATACGCAAGCTGCAATGGATAAATTGTCGTCTGAATTACGCAAAATGAAAATAATACTGACATCTCATTTTGACTGATATACATATTTACCAAAATTACATATAAATGTCTTGAAATACTAAAGAGTAAATTTATTTAATAAAATCGCCATTGGCTTCAACCACGGCCTGCAGACGACTTCGGACTCTCCTGCATCTCTTCTGGATGGTGTCCTTGTTTAAGTTGATGAATGCTGTCACAATCCTTGATTTCAGTTCATCTTTGGTGTTATAAGGAGTTTTCTTGGTCTCTCGCTCAACTGTGCCCCCCACATAATAATCAAGAGGGTTGTAGTCTGGGGAGTTAGGTGGCCAGATGTAAAGGGCGATGAGGTCGCAGAAATGACTGGGTTCTCCTGCTTGTGTGGCATAGTGCAGGGTCCTGTTACCAGAGATAGTGTCTTCCAATAGCCGCTCTCTTGAGCCAGGGCATCACTACCTCCTCAAGTCATTCATGTATGCGTCAGTATTGAATCTGAGGCCCTTGTGGAAAGATGAATGGAGGCATATCATCGCCATCACTAGTGATCCCTCCAAACACCATGATGTTGACTCTTACCGAATCCTCTGCACTGCGTATTAACACCCAAACACTCTGAAATGTTCGTATTTGAGCTTCCGGCGCGAATGCCAAACAGTACAGCATGCCGTTTCCAAATTTCTGGCGGAGTGAATTGCGTCATGGTGCTCTTTTTCTCACAGAAGGTGCCCAACTGACCCTACTATACTGTGCAGTTGACAAAAAAAAAAAACCAAAAAACAAAAAAAAATCACAAAAAAACAAAGCGTATGTTCGAAATTAAAAATATATAATGGCGACAATTTACCCATTTCACCCTGTATAAGATTATATAGATATTTGAATCGACTATAATGGAATTTTTATTATGTACCATATTATAAAGGAATAACTATGAAAACAAATCTGACGTGTTATACCATTTAGCTACAGAAGAAGTATCTGGTTTGTATTAATCATATATATTAACAATATAAAATGGCGACAATTTACCCATCGCAACCTGTACAAATATAAGGAGGGATAACGCCAAGCGGTACCTCCCCGGAGATGGCGTAACTTTCCCTTCAGTGACTAAATATTATTCCCTTTCCCAGACGTGCATCACGCACAGAATTCATAACTTATAATGTCTTCCTTCTTTTGCATGCATATGTGCGTATTTCCTCTCTTTTTGGCTTCATCACCGTTATGTAAGAACAAAAGCATGCAAAATATCGCCATGTTGAAATTAATTTCATTACACTCATGATTTACTCATGCAGAATATTTCTGTCGCTGTTTCTAGTCTAAGGAGCAGTTTCTGCTACATTTGGTGACCCCTGTCGTGATTTCAACTTGCATCTACCCCAATAAACATAAGAAGAGAAAGGAGAGAAAAGTTTAGTTTGGTTTATTTTGTTTTACGGTATATCAACCTCAATAGGTTATTTAATGCCGACAACATTTTTAGGGTAGATTCGTATGAATAGAATATGTATTCTTTGCTTTAGATTGGTTTGGTTTATTTTGTTTTACGGCATATCAACCTCAATAGGCTATTTAATGCCGACAACATTTTTAGGATAGATTCGTATGAATAGAATATGTATTCTTTGGTTTAGATTGAATTGGTTTATTTTGTTTTACGGCATATCAACCTCAATGGGTTATTTAATGGCGACAACATTTTTAGGATAGATTCGTATGAATAGAATATGTATTCTTTGGTTTGTTTTATTTTGTTTTACGGCATATCAACCTCAATAGGTTATTTAATGCCGACAACATTTTTAGGATATATTCGTATGAATAGAATATGTATTCTTTGGTTTAGATTGGTTTGGTTTATTTTGTTTTACGGCATATCAACCTCAATGGCTTATTTAATGCTGACAATATTTTTAGGATAGATTCGTATGAATAGAATATGTATTCTTTGGTTTAGATTGGTTTGGTTTATTTTTTTACGGCATATCAACCTCAATGTGTTATTTAATGCCGACAACATTTTTAGGATTCGTATGAATAGAATATGTATTCTTTGGTTTAGATTGGTTTGGTTTAATTTTGTTTTACGGCATATCAACGTCTCAATGGTTTATTTAATGCCGACAATGATTTTAGTACTGGTGATATTTTTTCCAAAAGTGTATTGCTGGTAATATTTTTTCTTTTTAAAAAAATGTACTACTGGTAATAATGTATTGCAAGGAATAATATTTTCCTCAAAAATGTATTGCTGGTAACAATTTTTCCAAAAAAGTATTGCTGGTATTAAAATCTATTTTTATACTTTCATAGTGTTTTGACCCCTTTTGTGGGGGGGGGGGTAAATATTTTTCCACAGCTGGTGCTACCACCCGGGATCAGGGTGGACCAGCTCCACAAAACCTTTTGATCAAATACCTTGTCGTCGGATGTAGTTTATCGTCATATCCAGGACGTGGAAATAGTTTAACGTCTTACCCTGGACGCGGATGTAGTTTATCGTCATACCCAGGACGCAGATGTAGTTTATCTTCTACCCAGGAAGCGGAAATAGTTTAACGTCTTACCCAGGACGCGAATGTAGTTTATCGTCATATTCAGGACGCAGATGTAGTTTATTGTCTTACCCAGGACGCGGATGTAGTTTATCGTCATACCCAGGACGAAGAAAGGAGTATTGTTTCTCTCGATCATATATCATATCTGTGGAGAGCTCTGATAACATATCTTCTGAATAGATATAGTATTTACTAAAAAAAAACAGTTAAATAGCAGGGCTGACTCTGCTGTCTAGCCTTGGTTGGCAATCAATGGAAGTTTCAAAATTAGTTTGAGTTTGGGGAAGGGGATAAGAATTATCAAAATGTTACAAAGAATGAGGCAATGTGAAATCGTGGAAGGATATTTAGATTTCGACATTAACTAATCCATATAAGTTGATATGCCGCTAAACGAAATCAGCCAACACAAAAGAACACTTTCATGGCATTGAAAATAGCGCAGCCACTCGAATCCGAGGATGCCAGTCTACTAGGGCGGCTAGCTAATCCCCATTGCAGACGCTTGCACAGGCACATTTGTTTATTCAACACTCACAGAGCCCACCTGTGGTTTATACTGCAAATATGTTGAGCAGACCTTAGTTACAGTTTCTGGGAAAGAGCGTGTTATCTAGCGTGATCAGCACGCCCCAACCCCCCGTCAAGTTGACTTCGTATTAGCACAGCCATTGACGGCCCTCAAGGGTTCTGTCTGCCTAATTTCCTGCAGTAAGCTTCGGTCAACTCGTGGTATGGTTATCAGCAGTTTTCGAAGGTGTCGCATGCTGGAATTGCCTCCTCCCGACCGATAACATCAAGAAGTCTCCTTCCTGACAAATCGACCATGGTGAGATTTGAACCCGGGTCTCATGGTCAGAAAGCGAACGTTCTAATCACTTTGGCCTTATAATATCCTACAATTTCTTAAGGAAATCAAACTGTATTCCAAAATATAACTTCAACAAAACTACAACATAAAACACATATTACCACCTCTCGTACTTATGTCCGTACAAACATTTTTTATGCCCCAAAAGCTGAGTATCACCTACCATGTATTCAGTTGCGAAAGCAGAATAACATATATCATATTTTTATTACCTCCAAGTTCCTACGAAAATTAAATTTCAGCATTAAATGACCCATAAGTTGTTGATATGCCGTTAAACAAACAAAACAAAACAAACAAAATCACCCACATAATTCCTAATTTGTAATGTCTTCCTTCATTTGCATGCATATTCATATATTTTCTCTCTCTCTCGTTCTCTCGTTCTCTCTCTCTCTCTGTATATATATATATATATATATATATATATATATATATATATATATATATATATATCCCGTCGGTTTCGACGTATGAGGATCTGACAATTGATTCAGTTTTGAAATTTTGTGCGATAATCTTAAGTGGCACTTAAGACCCGCTACAAAGGAGGCCGCATATGGAGCAAGAGTAAGGATTGTGGGATGACAATATATATATATATATATATATATATATATATATAAACATATCGCTTAAAGGCGTAATGGAAATTGGAGAGCTGAGTTCCAATTCCAGTCGGATTCTTTATATTCACTTACGGACAAATCAAATACCCTTGGGAAAGGTATGGGCCTACCTTTCTCCACCCCGTCTGCTAAGGAGTGTTTAGTTGTTGAAAGGAAAAAAGGATTTTTTTGTATTTGATATCGTGCTAATAATACATAGTGGGGTAGGAATTCAAAAATGCATTTAAATTTTCTGAATGTTCACTTCATCAGTCATGTGACACTAGGGCCGGTGCGTATTATCTCCGAATCACCCGACCGCGGGGAGGCGCAATCCTGATTGCAGACCACGGGGAGGCGCAATCCTGATTGCGGACCCCGGGCAGTGATATGTAATTTTTATTATAATTCAACATTTGCTTTTTTTATATACGTTACAATTTAAACTAAGCATAACTGACGATTAATGGATGAAATCTTTTCGCGGATATTTTCACGTCATTCTGGGGTCCTTTTTTTTTCAAACCCGTGAATTTGTTTTACTTATTTTTCTGATGTAGGCTGGCCGTTAATGATCAAGTATAACTCAAGACTTCAGTATAAAACAGTATTTAATTACAATCGCTAATAAATACTTAAAAACAAAGAAGTAAAAGTCAATCGAATATAGTTAACGATTTCAGTGAATACCTTGTTAATAGCACGGCTCGGCTTAACGTCCGGTACATCCTAAATCAAAACCTAAATTATCGACGCACAATAATTCACACTAATTCGACTGAATAGTTCCACTCAATAATCACTCCAGTCAGTAGCCTGACACCTTGCGGAAAACGTATTCATAATTTCAGAGTGTCACGCTCGAACCTCGGTGTCGGTAGTTACTCATTTTTTCCTATATGACACTGATGCTAAGTCTTGATAAATACACTATATAAAATTCAGTATTTCTTTTGTCTATAATTTTGAATATGTTAGACTATTCAACTTTTGAACAAGAAAAATCTCAAGTTTATGTTAAAAATTACCGCAAAAGATTGTTGATATATTTAAGATGGAATGATCTACACTATTTACAATGTTCGGACTGTTATCCTCATAAAGTGGACATGACAACAAAGATGAGAACAACAGCGCGAAAAATGTAAATAGTGTAAATATTTACAGTACCTCAAATTAGAAATGTAGACAGACCCCGAAGAAGGCCGGAACGTACAGCTGCCAAGAGGTCGTGAATATGGCAACAAAGATGAGGACAACAGTCCGAACAATGTATATATTGTAAATTATTACAATACTTCATCTCAGAAAGATAGAAAGATCCCGAAGAAGGCTGGGGAGTACAGCGGCCGAAACGTGGTGAATGTGGTAATAAAGATGAGGACAACTGTCCGAACAATGTAAATTGTTTAAATTATTACAGTACCTTATCTCAGAAATATAGACAGAACCCCAAGAAGGCCGGGGCGTACAGCGGCCGAGACATTGTGAATATGGCAACAAAAATGAGGACAATAGTCCGAACAATGTAAATAGTGTAAATTATTACAATACTTCATCTCAGAAATATAGACAAAACACCAAGAAGGCCGGAATGTACAGCGGCCGAGACATTGTGAATATGGCAATAAAGATGAGGACAACAGTCCGAACAATGTAAATTGTTTAAATTATTACAATACCTTATCTCAGAAATATAGACAGAACCCCAAGAAGGCCGGAGCGTACAGCGGCTGAGACATTGTGAATATGGCAACAAAAATGAGGACAATAGTCCGAACAATGTAAATAGTGTAAATTATTACAATACTTCATCTCAGAAATATAGTATGATTTATTGTTACATGTCTCTAATTTGTAATTTAGATACATTGTATTTATCTTCAATTTTTCTCGTTAAATTGTTCACCTATATCGCATATGATCCATTACTGTATATAAATAGGTTAGAATAAAATTTGTATTTTATATGAATTGAACTGTTACATGATATCTGTCCTCCTGCATGGCAGCGAATGCCGGAAATTCTCCTCAAAGATGAAGAAGAAACTTGAAGCAACAGAAATGTAGTTCTACAGAAGGATGCTGGGGATACCATGAACCAAACATGTAAGCAACGACGAGGTTTTGGAAAAAAATGGAAACAAATAAGAAACTTATACCTAACATCAGGGACAGGCAGTTGGAATTTCTGGGGTACGTAATGAGGAAAGATGGCTTGGAGAATTTGATACTCACAGGAGAAATTGAGAAAGCAGCGCGTAATTTAATTGATGAGCTTCAGTATGGCTAAACAGGGCTTGGGAGAAATAACAATAAAACTTTATTAAGAGCTACAAGGGACAGGATGCTGTGGAGGGCTATGATCGCCTACGTCCTGAAGGGACACGGCACATAAAAGAAAGACCTTATGTAGCAGGGTGGGAGGTATCATAGATTGGGGGTGGGCCATGAGACCCTTGACCGTTCCTACGCGACACTATAGATGCTACCGACAAAATGTAATCTTACCCCACCTGTTTAACAACGGACTCATCATCATCATGGTTTGGCTTCGCAAAACGTAGATCAAGAGGGAGTCTGTACACGTCGCTTGCAGGCCCGTTTCCTTGTAATAGTATAGCTGGCCACAATGTGGGACAGGCATACGCGGTCGCAGGAGTTGCAGCTGAAAGTCTGGTCTAGGATTGAGAGCATAGCGTTGCAGCACTTATTCCTCAAACAACAGTAAAATCCACTCAGTAATCATGCCGCCTTAAAAATGCAACATAACTGCTAAGGTTGATTTCTGTTGTTGGAGTTTAATCGATTGGTTTATCGATTGAATCTTTCAATGAAAGGAATTGATTTTTCCAATAGGGAATAATTGTTATTGCAGCTGAGTGTTGTTAACTAACACGAACGAAAAAATTTACAATCAGCGTAAACAAACTTTATATCAATGTTTCGAAATCATTAAGAGAATGATAAACATCGAAAAACCATTTCTCGTTGGATTTGATTGCTGATTAATAAAATTTGTACGTTAATTTATTTATTTATTTATTTGCAGGAAAATCATTGACTGCCAACGAAAAACTGGAACTCGTTTTAAATTACTTGACTATTAACTTCCGCAGTATTTTAATTAATGAGCTTAATTGGTTATTTATCAGTTTCACTAAAAAGCAAAATTTGTTTTTTTTTATTTTGATTGTCAAAGATTTTTTTCCCTTTCAACAACAAAACAATCAAGTTTACGCCCACCTTCGTCGGAGTTAGCACCTCCTTAATTTCCTAATTGTTCACTAGGGGTCTCTCTCCCCACACTATAAATACTGGGCGGTTTCTTGCCTCGTTCTCCTTTTTTCACTTTGCATTTCAGCGGACACATTTAAAAATGTGATCTCTCGCAGAAATCCGCGTTTTCGTCCACTTGTAGGAAAACGCCATGAAACACACATACACGTACGTACGAACTTTCACCAATATACAAACTCTTTACGTTCACACACAATCACAAATGTTGATGTCTTTGTCACTTGTAAATTTGTTGTTTAATACATATACTTGTTTGTATATATATATATATATATATATATATCGGTCTTGTTTGTTTTCTTTACATCTTCGGTTGGACTCATCTTGAGTCCGCCATGTTCTTGTAGTTGGACCTTCTTCTGTCTGTTCTACAAATACTTTCATGGAAATTGCTCCAAGGAGCTGCATTCGCTGGTTCCCAGACGTCATGAGTTCCAGCGCCTTACGAGGCTGGCATCCCGCTCTCACCCCTTCAATGTCGAAACTCCTAAATGTAGCCGTCTCTTCTACTCTAATAGTTTCATGTCTCGTCTCTCGCCTGTGGAACTCCCTTCCCATTCCTGTTTCCCTGTGAGCTATAATCTCCAGCTATTCAAGTGTAATGTCAATCGACATCCCCAGTTGCCTTAATCTATCCACTACCCTCATCCTTTCTTCTATCACTCCTATCTGATCTTGCTTTAAACTTTCTGTAACCCCTTGCGTCCTAGTGGCTTCCCGCCTTGCTTGGGGTGAAATGCTTAAAAAAAAAAGAAAAAAAGGAATAAACAGCAGGTGTTTCTAATTCAACAACACTTTAACATACACGGTCCTCAACACTTCCTTCACAGACTGGTGCTTTTTTGTAGGAAAATCATTGATTGCCAAAGAAAAGCTGAAACTGGTTTATAAATTACCGTATATACTCGTGTAAACGCAACGCGTCATCTCGCGTATAGTGCGACCTCTAAATTTTCACTTAAAAAATAATTTTAACATGTATCTTGTGAATTCTGCGCGTCCCTTTTTTGACAGACCGAATTAAAAACCTCTTTTCCTCTATCTCTTTATCTCATCTTCGAGTTAAATAAGTTAAAAAAGTAAACGAGAATGATAACAGTATCGTTAGTAACGCTATACTTGTTGCGTAAACGCGTACATCCTGTAATGATAAAAATACGCAGGGGTAGGCTTTAAGAAAGCTTTATTCAACTGAGAACACAAGTATATTGTCCTTTTATCGCGTCGCGTATATTATCCTTTTATAGTCCCAGTAAACATAAATAGCTCTCTCAAAGAGGAGAGTAACAAAACAAGGGGAGATCACTCAAGATTATTCATAACACAGCCATAATCAACCGAACAAGAGACAGCTAAACATCTTATAAACGTAAACAATAGAAAATATGCATATTCGCTATGTTTGTATTTTATAATACGATATTAATATGTGAATATTACATGCATTATTATTGGATACAGTTAAGTAAAACATCAGTTCTTATCAAAATCAGGTTTATTTTAAATATAGCTGTACTTTTTTGACTACAGTAAATGGATATATAGTTTGGTCAACGGCGTAGCCAGGACCAGCAGTAGTGTCAGATTTTTTTTAAGCCGATGGATTGGGGGAGGAGAAAATAGGACAGCTAAATAACTCCGAAGCGTTGTACTCGAAAATCGATATGAAAGGAGAAAAAAAAAGATAGCAGCACTTCACAGCGTCCCCGGTTAATAATAGTTTGAGATTGAAACGAATTGCGTCGTTGCTTACAAGCACCCTCTGTCCTTGTAATAGCAGAGCTGGCCTCTCGTATTCAAGGATACCCGTCTACGGCTAGCCAATCCCTATTGCAGACGCTTGCTCAGGCACATTTGTGTTTATTCAACACCCACAGACTGATTTGTACTGATATTATGCTGAGCAGATCTTAGTTAAAGTTTCTGGGAAAGAGCGTGATCAACAATCTGAACAAGGCCAGCACACTTAAGCCCTCGGCCACGACTTCGTGCTGGCACAGCTATCACCCCCGCCAAGAGTTCCGTCTACCCAATTTCACTCACTTTCAGGCACTTTCCAAATGTGCCGCACGCTGGGATCGACTCCTCCAATCCGATAACATCCTGACAAATCGACCATGGTGAGATTCGAACCCGGGTCTCATGGTCAGATTGTGAACATTCTAACCACTCGGCCACGTTCCCATATCCTTTTAAGAGTAATAGTATCATAACAGTATAACGTAGTAACAGACTAACAGTCTTAACAAAATGATATGTCCCAGAAAGGGATATATTTGTTCGAAGTAGCAAAGTGGTTGTTGACTAGTGTAACCGAGTAGGACAATCTAGCAGGTAACCGTAATGAACTGGTCCTCGTCGTAGAGGTAGGCAATAGGCGTAGACAATAGGCATCCACTTTGTACCTCCACATCAGTCTGCATTTATGGATGACACCAGCCAATCATATTACTGTGAGGGGGGACCCAGGTGTATGCATATTCATTGCATCAGTTAGATTTAACGATTCTCATTGGTTGTGTGTATGAACTTGTACTCAAAGTACTGTTGTAAAAGTTTAAAGAAACAATCTATCTGGGAACCAGGAACGGATTAATACATTTTACATTAGTTTCAGTTGACGAACATTACGGGTTTTGGCTATTCTTTTAGCCATTATCTATGTTGATTTAATTTTTACTTTTAACTGACTGTATGGATTATTTGATGTATGGGAGTAGAATTATAGCAATGTTTTATTTTATGAGACGAGTCATAATTTCCGATCTCTTAGTCAAAAGGTTTTGGGGTCTGGAAATGTTATTATTGCCAACTCTTCTCGTTGATTCGTTGCACGCACACTACGAAGTTCTTTTTCAGTTGATATAATTTATTTTCACTGGTCAATTCTCCATTTACAGATTACCTTTTGAGCTTTTATGCCAATTTAGTAATCAAAAAGAATGGGAGACAATTTTGATTTTAGTAGGAGGCAAAGAAAATAAACAGTTGGAATGTACATCCTTTAAAATACATTTAAAAGGGATATGTCCCGGAAAGGGATATATTTGTTCGAAATAACAAAGTGGTTATTGACTACTGTAACCGACTAGGACAATCTAGCAGGCAACCGTAATGGACTGGTCCTCGTCGTAGAGGTAGGCAATAGGCGTCCCCTTTGTACCTCCACATCAGTCTGTATTTATGGCTGACACCAGCCAATCATATTACTGTGAGGGGTAAACCCAGGTGTATGCATATTCATTACATCACGAAATAACTATAATAATTCTCTGAAGGGTGAAAGGGATTTCTGTTATAGCTTTCCAGACGGACTCATTTAAATGTATTGTAGTCTTGTCCATCCAATCAGATAGGATCTATTCCAACAGTAAACATTAAAACTGGTCGACAAAGAAAAACAGATTCCCTGCTTCTTACCTTGACCGACCGCCACACAACCGTTGGAATTCCATCGTTTCCCTACTCGACATCGAGTTTTTTTGGTGAGTACAAGTTACAACAGTACATCTGCTAATTTTAGATCTCGTGCATGATGCAACCCTCTTAAAATTGCCTTCAAAATCAGGCCTTCAAAAGTCGCAGGATACGCGAGTATATACGGTACTTGACTCTGTTCTCACAGTCTCGATAGCGTTCGAAATCGTCTCCACGTCTTTGTGGGTGACAAATTATTTTCCACCTTGCAACCCTTCTCTAACGTCACAAGCCTCTCGCTGATCTATCGCTATTTCCATGGAGAATGTTCAGACGATCGACATTCCTTAGTTCCACAAGTTCTAACCTTCTAACCGCCATGCTACGCACAATGTAGCGAACCTCATTCCCGACGTATTCCTCTGGTGAGACGCAAGTTCCACTCGAGCAGCTTCTTCCAAGAAACCATTACTTTGTGGTACCGACTCCCAAGAGGATGTTTTCCCGATCACTATAATCTTAACCTGTTCAAGTATACGGTTAGCCGTTAACTTCCTGTTATGTTGTGGTTTCACAGTGGAGGCTTGTATTTGTACTAAGTCGGTCCTAAAATAGGTTCGACGTACAAAACGTTAGGAACTTGATATAATAGGTAATGACGCAGTAATCTAGTTGTGGTGGCTGATACTTTAATATCCGGCTAACGGTCGTCCGACATCGACTGACTGACCAAACTCCCTGAGCGACTCACTTTTTACTCTTACTACTCCTACTTATTATAGGTGGGAGAATCTATTAACTATAGAATAGGTGTGTTCCATTATAACACTTCCCCACCTGTCCGCATAACCTGTGCTATATACTCTGTAACCCTCTACCTCGAGTGGCTCCCAGGTTTGGTTACTTTAATGGCATATCAACTTCTTGTGGGTCATTTAATACTGAAATTTATTTTTCTTGGGAGATTTGGTAATTTTCCCCAAAAAATGACTGATAATAGACTGATTGAGAGCGTCATACTGCGCCTTCTTGGCCGCACGTTTTCAACTGACTTGAAGTAAAACGACTACATCGAATCAATAGCTGCATCTATTGCAAGGAAAGTTGGGTCACTGTGCCGTGCCAAAAATCTTTTTCTCGCCACAGTCTATCCTGCACGTTTACAAATCTACTATTCGTCTGTGCATTGAATACTGCTGCCATATCTGGTCTGGTGGCCTTGCTATTCATCTCGAGGTTCTTGACAAAATCCAAAGATGGATCTGTAATGTAATCGATCCTGACTTGGCATCTCGACTTCAGTCACCGACTTGACGTGGCTTCCCTCTGTCTTTTCTACGAATATTTTCATGGCAACGGCTCTGATGAGCATTTTTCGCTGGTGGCCCGAAGACATGAATTTAAGCGGGCTACCAGATTGGCATCTAGGTCACAACGGTTTAATGTTGAAAAAGTTAAATGCAATCGCCACTTCTACTCCAATAGTTTTTTTCTCGTACTTTCCGCCTGTGGAACACCCTTCCGTTTAATTGCCTCCTTGATAAATAAAATCTTCAAAAATTTAAATGTAGCGTCAATCGCCATCTTCTGTCCTCTTCAATCTTGTTCTTCTTTTGTCTGTTCTTCGATCCTCACAAAACTCAGTCATCTCTCTCACTAGTGACATTCTCGCCTTGCTTGGGGTGAAATGATTATATATATATATATATATATATATATATATATATATATATATATAAACCTAAAGAGCCAGACAAACTATATATATATATATATATATATATATATATATATATATATATATATATATATATATATATATATATATATATGCTCATTATCGGTGATAGTAAGTTTTTAAATACAGAAAATGTGATCAAAATCAACATTACATGTTCTGAAGATAGCTTAAATCGTAAAACTTACAGTCCACAATCTATCTCAGTCTATCTATCTATCTATCTATCTATCTATCTATCTATCGCAGTCTGTTCTTACCTATCTATCTATCTTAGCTCGCTAGCTAAATATTTTACTGACATGAACGAACATTTTGGCAATCTATCTGTGTATTGTGCGCATGCGTCTGTGCATGCGTGAGTGTTTGCTTTTTGAAAATACTTCACTAATCAAAATTTGGCTGAAACAATGAAAAGAAAAATCCAAAAGAACTGCTTTTAATTTTCGGTTCATAAATGGAATAGTCTCCAAGAAAACTACTCGACCTCTGGTATCGCCTTTACTTTGAAGGCCGTGTAAATATCACGCTTAGCAGTTCACCGGGCTGTTAACAAGAGTTCTATTATCGATTGGTAGCAGCGAAACGCAAGCGTGTGGCCGCGTACGCATCTATTCGAAGAGAAAGCGATCTTGAACACTTTTACTCGTAGAATTATCGGAATAAAGCGAATTTCAAATGTAAAAAAAGAAAAAAGACACAAACAGAACAAGTGCTTAGAGAAGCCGGGCTATCATTTCTACTGTCGTAAAAATCGTGTTTCTTTTTCTGCATTTCATCTGATGATTACACACGAATAGATTCGTATGGAAGGCTATCAACGAATTAGCATTTTCTCTGTAATTTTGTTTAAATCTATAGGAAAACTCACTTAAAAGACTTCTAAGATTCTCTTTATCAGATATTTTAAATTTCTATTTTATCAAACTGTTTCTCTCTATATCGATCAAGTTGTCAATCTCTATGTATTATCCAATTTGTCTGTCGATCTATCTCTGTCAATTTCTCTCTGTTCATTATCTATCTATCTATCTATCTATCTATCTATCTATCTATCTATTACGATCTATTCATTTTATGTGTATGTATGTATGTATGTATCTATCTATCTATCTATCTATCTATCTATCTATCTATTCATTCCTTGTATGTATGTATGTATCTATCTATCTATTACGATCTATTCATTTTATGTGTATGTATGTATGAATCTATCTATCTATCTATCTATCTATCTATCTATCTATCTATCTATCTATCTATCTATCTATCTATTCATTCTTTGTATGTATGTGTGTATGTATGTATGTATGTATGTATCTATCTATCACGATCTATTCATTTTATGTGTATGTATGTATGTATGTATGTATGAAACTATCTATCTATCTATCTATCTATCTATCTATCTATCTATTCATTCCTTGTATGTGTGTATGTATGTATGTATCTATCTATTACGATCTATTCATTTTATGTTTATGTATGTATGTATGTATGTATGAAAATCTATCTATCTATCTATCTATCTATCTATCTATCTATCTATCTATCTATCTATCTATCTATTCATTCCTTGTATGTGCGTATGTATGTATGTATCTATCTATTACGATCTATTCATTTTATGTGTATGTATGTATGTATGTATGTATGTATGTATGTATGTATGTATGAAACTATCTATCTATCTATCTATCTATCTATCTATCTATTACGATCTATTCATTTTATGTGTATGTATGTATGTATGTACGTATGTATGAAACTATCTATCTATCTCGTCTCTTATCTATCTATCTATCTATCTATCTATCTATCTATCTATCTATCTATCTATCGATCGATCTATCTATCTTTCTATCTATTTATCTATCTATTCATTCTTTGTATGTATGTATGTATGTATGTATGAATCTATCTATCTATCTATCTATCTATCTATCTATCTATCTATCTATCTATCGAGATCAACCTGTCCATATCTATGAATGCCAGCTTTTCATTAGTGCAATTCACTTTTTCGTACTTATGCGTATGTTAACTTTAAAACACGCATAGTTATCTGTGTATGCATATGTGTGAATTCATTGATCAGTAAACCTACAACTGTCATCCCGAATATTAATCATATCCGATCTATCTATCTATCTATCTATCTATCTATCTATCTATCTATCTATCTATCTATGTCTGTTGACTATGAGTGTATTTACGTATGTATTTATCTTAGTTTATTATTTACATTACTCGGACTATAGTCCTCATCTTTGTCGCCATATTTGTTACAACGTTTCAGCCGTTGTACGCTCCGGCCTTCTTCAGGTGGTTGGAATGTCGAACTGAACCCTTTATTTCGCTCACTGGGGTAGATTATTCTAGTTCCGCGTGCCATATTTAATGGATGTCAGTTATCAGTTATCTCCTGTTAATTTCCCTCTGAAAGTTCTCCATTGCCTTAATCGGGTATTGAACTCACACTCTTTTGGGTCCTGTCACTGGATCTAACCAACGCCTTTATCCACTGTTCACCGAGTCCTCTTCATATCTATCTATCTATCTATCATCTATCTATCTATCTATCTATCTATCTATGTCCGTTCACTATGGGTGTATTTACGTATGTATATATCACTCTAAGTTTGTTGAAATTCTCTTCATATCTATCTATCTATCTATCTATCTATCTAATTAATTGTGATGCATTTGAATGATTCCAAAACTAATTATATTTACTGTTGAAAAATACGCAAAGTTCTTATAATTAGTCAAATCCTCTTCATTCTTTACGCGCGCAGCCTTAGTCGCATACACGGTTAAAGACAGGCACATATTCGAACGAATAGATGGGAATGCTTATTAATAGAAAGCACCGAAATTCGCAGGATACCAAATATCGATTTGTGCATTAAAAATTATCTCAATCTTTAAAGAAAATAAAAGCAGACAAAGACTCTTTATTTTATTTCTGAATGAATGCACAGATTCTTTTATTTCCCGTATTTGAAGTCAATCTGAAAAGAAAGGCTAATTTCAACGTAAAAGCCTTTGATTTTTCATTACGTATTCGATCCTCGATTCAAATCTAACAATGCTTCTCCCCCATCCCAGACTCTTCCCAGCTATAGTATTTCTTCCTTTTGGCTGTATACCCATTTGTCTTTATGCTAGAATATCTACTATTCGGCTTTACGGCCATATCACGAAAAAAGCAGCGGTTCCCGGAGGATCACCAAAAAACAAGCAAACACCTCAGCATACTATTGGACATGAACTACCCTCTCCTAATCATGTAAGCCTTGTACATAATGCTTTCAGGCGCCAAAAGTGTGATTGTTGAACCCGACCAAGTAACCACAAGTGTCCATTGTTTGGCTGATATAGGATAACTGTTGATTATTATGTTATTTTATATCTATCTATTAGCCAATTTGTCTGTCGTTCTATCTCTCTGTCAATTTTACTTTGTTGATTATCTATCTATCTATCTATCTATCTATCTATCTATCTATCTATCTGATCCTTATCTATCTATCTATCTATCTATCTATCTATCTATCTATCTATCTAATCCTCATCTATCATCTATCTGATCCTAATCTATCTATCTATCTATCTATCTATCTATCTATCTATCTATCTATCTATCTGATCCTAAGCTATGTGATGCTTATCTATCTATCTATCTATCTATCTATCTATCTATCTATCTATCTATCTATGTGATCCTAATCTATCTGATCCTTATTCATCTATCTATCTATCTATCTATCTATCTATCTATCTATCTATCTATGTGATCCTAATCTATCTGATCCTTATCTATCTATCTATCTATCTATCTATCTATCTATCTATCTATCTATCTATCTATCTATCAAAACCAACCTCTTCATATCTACGAATATGCAAGATTCTCAACATTGCAAGTTTGTAATTCTCGTTTTTTATACTTACGTATTTGATGCCTTCGATGCAAACGAGTGTTTGTACAAAGTCCCAGTTGACATTAAGAGCCAATTTATACGACTAGGAAGGGAAAATAATGGTTAACTCTAGATTTGTACAAATTAAGATTGTAGTAATCGGAGAAACATCCTCTTGAGAGTAAATTCCACTGGGGAAGAGGTTCGAGTGTAGCTTCCTTCTCACCAATGGAATACGGAGGACTGAGAGTGGTTTGCTACAATGTAACTGGCATGGTGGGTCCTTGCCGTGGAGGGTTAGGACTGACAGGACCAAGGAGTGTAGTTCGTCCGAGCACTTTCTATGGTTGTAGGGATAGAACACTGACAAGATTGAAACATCCCACACGTATGAGAGAGGTTAGAAGGTGGAAATATTTTGTCAACCACAAGGACTCGGAGGCGCTTTCTGAACTCGGACAGTGAGGTGTGGCCAGTTCCCGCCTAAATATGACAACAGTACTCCATTGTCGGTATGATCTGGCTCTTGTAAAAGGAGAGGAATAACATTTATGATAACAAAATGTTCAAAATAACTAAAATATATTGAAAATTACTAATCCCAGGGAGGATTGATGGATTGATTCTATTGTTTTTTGTTGATCTAGATGTTATCATAGACGCGAAGTTTCGACCAAGGACGCCAGGGTCATCATCAGGCATCCATTGGTTGGCTGATATTGGATATCCGTTCATTGTCTCTGTGATATAACTAATTGTTCGTTCCTGCTGAATTGGTGCGTCAATACCAAACCCAAGGATTGAACTCAGGACCGCTAGATGACTGTAACACAAACACATGTATAATAACCAACTCAAGGATATATATAGGACGGTGGTGGTGTGTTTATGGAGCCTTTTATATTCAATGTTAGATGGTTTTTGATATTTGGTTATGATGGCGGATTCTTAGCGCTTTTCATAGTTTAGTATTTTATTTCCGAGATGAGCAAATTGTCAGTTTTCTGACGAGACTATTTAAGAACATAAGAGTTTTTAGGCTAATATTTTGGTTGTGTAGCAATTGGCGGTATTGTGGGAAACTACCCCTAGCATAGCCTATTCTATGCTCAGTTTCATTATCTACTATAGTAAATTCCACATTCTGAATTCATGTACAGGTTGAACTTTCTTTTAAAAACAGTCTTTTACGTTAAATAACTATGAGGCCATAATTTTTGTCAGAGCGGTGAACAAGTAAAAACAGAGGCGGAAACGATTGTGATGTTATTCGCAAGTGGATGACAGGACGAAATGACAAACGTTTTTGAAGATTTTTTTAGTCGTTAGAGAAGCACAGGCGAAATAAGTCAACGATATTTTTATTCGTTCTTCCGTGTCTTCAAGCAATTTATTATCAGAATTACTTGTCTGCAATAAATCATAATTTTAATATCTTTATTCATTACAGAACAGAAACTATGAAAAGAATTGCCTGAATTTCTGTGACGAAATGTTCCTATTATATAGAAAAAAGCAAACACCTATATTATAATGTTGTTCGTTAGAAGCGAATGTTGAGGGTGTTGGGTTTATATGTGGGCTGCTTTAATGTTACCTGTCGTAGGTACAGATATTTACCCCCAAACATTAAAAACAAAATTAAAGTACAGAAAGATCGAAGTCAGAAGAATGTACATTAAAGTTTTATTTTTTACAAAGAGAGCATGCTAACAAAGTATTAGGTGTATTCTCTCCGACCCCGAAAAGGAAAGCTAGCGAATATTACAAAAAAACCCAAAAAACAAAAATAAAACCAAAAAAATAAAAAAATAAAAAAAAATATAAATTCATTTTCCAAAAAAAAAAACCTTATTTTTGGGCAAATTAGGATTTTATCTCTTTTGTTCACATGTCAGAGAAGTATCTTCTTTTCACGGCGTCTAACTCAAAACTGTTTTCTATACAGAGCAGCTGATTGATCCAATGCAGTGCATATGAATTAGGAATAAAAAAAGGAAAGTTAATTAAGCAAATTTACAACAGTAATTAATGTATTGAACCTTCTTGATAATAACCTATGTTGTGGCCTTTCTACATGTAGCTACTGTGCGGTAGTCTGCTAAAATAACGTCTGATATGAAAGTGTGTACGAAGCAGAAGTGTATTAAGTTCCCGGATGTGGCAGACATTGCGCTCATTGATATTTCTCGACACTAGCTGAATGTGTACAGAGACCCAAAAGTGTCTGGGAGCGAAAATAAACGAAGGGAAATTTGTCTCAGCTGTGGCGATAGTAATATGTGTTAAAAGCCATTTTTACGAGTGAGGCAAGAATATGTTTGCTATCGACTGACGAAAATGTACAGCTAACCATCACGGTCCCGCAACAAGTTCGTCAGGTCATTAGACTTGGCATTCTGTATCATAATATACCTGGTCAATGAAGGTGGTTGCTTGGCGACCAACCTATCTTGCTCGCTGGTTAGGTATTCAGAGCGAGTTCTTGTTTTGATCGTGAACAATATTCTGCAAAGCTCATTCTGCATTCGCCTAAGATTTTAGAAATATCAGGAATGGGTCCATAGAGCTATGATTTAGTTGGAGGTTGTCTCCAAGAGATATTAAGTATAGCTCGCAGCATCCGAGTGTAGGTTCCGTCAAGTTTAGACTCAAGTGTCTAAAACTGTAGAACTATCAGGGATGGTTCCATAGAGTTGAGATTTAGTTAGAGGTTGTTTCCAAGAGATGTTATAGCTCTCAGCATCCGAGTGTAGGTTCCGTCAAGTTTAGACTCAAGTGTTTAAGACTGTAGAACTATTAGGGATGGGTCCACAGAGTTGAGATTTAGTTGAAGGTTGTTTCCAAGAGATGTTATAGCTCTCAGCATCCGAGAGAGGTTCCGTAAGTATAAGACTCTGTTGTTTAATTTTTCAGAACTATTACCCTTGGGTCCACAGAGTTGAGATTTGAAATGGATGTTGTATGTCCAAGTGATATTAAGGTTTTCCTTTTCCCATCCGACTGTAGGTTCTATCAGCCGTTGATTCTAGGGTTTTAGTTAATCTCCATGCAGTGGCAACCATATATTATAACCTCCTCTAAAGCGGTTCAAAAGAAACTCCGCTTGAGATTCTCTGGTAGATCAGATTTCCAGATTACGCCCGTTTTATTTAACGCGGGGCAGGCTTTGGCTATGGAAATGTTCACATCCTTTTTCGCTATCTAGGTATGTAAAAGATTCGGCAGATTTTACTTATTCACATGAGACAGTTTGCATTGAGCCTTGCTGATTCACAAGCTTCAACCAGCAAAGTTTTTTTTTATTTTATTAACGCACGGAGATTATCCATGGAAAAAAACTCACAACTGAACAAAGAACTAAAAATCAATTTTGGATTTAACCAATCCATCTAATTTCGTGACAATTTTATAGTGGTCAGATTCTCCTGATCTGGCACCTCCAGGTTATTTTTCGGTGGATGGATATCTTAAGGGGGTGTTCAGACTACAGAGAATTCAGCAAATCAAGGATAACATCTTTGCATAAATTCAAGAGCTGCAGCCAGAGATATTAACCCTGTTACGGAGAATGTTATTGAAAGTGCGTGTCTGTGTGAAGTCAAATGATGGGGTATATTTCTGTTGTATATTTTTTCATAATTCAAGGAAATATATTTCCACTGTTTGAATTTTCATCTATATAATAATTTTAAGTTGATTCCTCCAAATATGAGATAGAAAATCTTGATACAAAGAAAAACGTGATCTATGATATAAAGAAAAAATTTCTCATGACTGAATATTTATGAAGAGAATGGTAAAAAGATTCCACATAAAGTTCCCACCCCCCTCTCTCTAAAATATGATATCTCATGAAAGTTTTGATTGAAAAACCTCAAAAGTGAGTCTATGCTCACATCACTTCCACCATTCTCTGTTTCCACCTTTCAATGATTCCAACTAATCTGTCCATGCCTGGTTGCCTTTCCCACTCATTTTGACAACTCAATCATCCAATGAAGATAAATCAGAGAGTACTCAAGACTTCACTTTTGTGAGTGGTATCATCTCTTGTAAAAGTTTTCCCCACTATTGATTTTTTCAATCTGATTGAAGATTTCTACTATTTTTAAAACACAAACATTGTTTTTATGTCAGAAAATATTTTTTACTTTTTTCAAAGAGACAATTGCTTTAATCAAAATCTTTTTAGATTTAACAGAGAACAAAGAGATTCCACTGTCTGATATTTACATTCACTTGGGGTAGGGGCATTTTATTACCTTCCCAAAATAAACAATATTTTAAATATTTAAAAAAATTTTAGCCATATTTTAAACTATTTTCAACTGAACAAAAATTGTAAAATATTTTTTCACTTATTAAAAAATATTTTTAAGGAAATCTATGGATCAAAATTTATTTAATTGAATATGGGTAAAAATACTGACCAAGTTTATACTTTTAAGAATATTTTTGCAATTTTCTTCAAACAGACAATTTTTGGCTAAATTCTTTTTAAAACCTCAACAGTCATGTACCCAACGAGTGGGGTAGTCTACTGGTTGTAAACTGTTGCAAAACTCGACAAATGTAAGAAAATTATATGTGCAATTTTGTATCAAAAAGTCTTGCATAAGGAGTTCGACCACGGCACCCCTATGGTAACAGACCTGCGAGCCACAACTAAAAGCTGAATGAGTCTGATTTAAACCCAGAAATTATAACAAATGAGTAGATTAGAACTGGTTTTAGATGTTTCAAGGAGGTGACACCAAGAAAAAAAAAAGGTGGTTTGCCTGAAAATGAAGGGACAGTCAGGTTCAACAATGTGGACGAGGTGAAAACAGGTGCAATAGTTTTAAGGAGTTAAACAAATTTGCAATGATATAATTGTAGAATTGAGCCTCTGGCACAACAACGTGATTTTTAACAATGAGATATATGATAGGATAAAGAGGCAATGAATAAATGGATTTCATGTGTAATTTGCTTGAACTATTAAAGCTGAAATACAAAAAAAGTTTTTATTCAAATTGGCATAGTAATAAAAAAGAAAAGGGCATAAACCAATATTTTGCTGATGACAAAAAATTTTTACTCATCTTAATAGTAAGGAAGAACTGGTTTTATAGCCTAAAACAAACGGTCTTAGGAGAAAAGAAATCTTAAATTAAAATGTCCTCCTATTTTTATAAATTCTCTCAAAACTCTCTTTTCATTCATGAAGAACTATTTTTGCTTGTGGCAAAAGAGGATAACTATATTGAGTACTAACTTATTCGTCTTTTTTTTTGAAATTTTCCACTGACAGACTAATGATTATATTGAAACAAAACAAAGTCTGCCAACAACAAGGCACGTCACTCTGTCATGTTAGACAATGCTTCGTGTTCAGAGTTTCTTGCATGTTTAGTCTATCTGTCTATATATTATTTAATATTGCTGCCATAAAATTCTGTCTCGCAAAATGTTATACATACGAGATCATTGTTCCAAATCTGTAATTTTATCTATCAGTCCTGAACTGGTATCTTGCACTCAGTCACCTTTTTCATCACCACTGTGTTGCAGCTTCCTGTGACCATATTTATTTTTTCCTTTTCAACTTCCTTAATGAGAGCCTCTTGATTTTATCTTGACTGCAAAAATTTAAGGCCTACTTGAAATTTTTTTAGAGTTTGACTTGTCTATGTAACATCAGTTATCCTTTTAATTTGTGTGTTTATTTTGATAACTAGTTTGTTTTTGAGTTCACAAAATGGGCAATTACGTATCATCCAGACCTTTTTGTATATAGAATTTTAAATCGTTAATTTTTAATGATGGATATTTATTGATCAGGCAGTATCAACACCAAATGAACAGCCAATCAGAATGATGAATCAGAAATTCTCTTTTAGGTTGGCCCAAGTAATTTTAATGGAAATGGGTCCAGCCTGTTATATAAACCATTAAATGAACTGGCTTCAAACCGTTTCCGCCATTTTCAAACTTGCCTTGGCGATTATGATCCAAATCGAGATTCTCAAAAAGGCAAAGTTTTGGCCCGAGACAGAGCCCTGAACCTGTTTATACAAGTTCAAAGGGAATATTTTTGAACATATTGGGCTTAATCCTTTCCTTCGCCCTTAGTGAAATACCCTCATCTTTTGTTAAATATAACATTTGTCAGCGGCCTCTTCTTTTTTTGAGGGTTTAACAAGTCCAACTAACATCAGTTATCCTTATTTTGATATTTTAGTTTGTTTTGGGTTCATCCCCTTCCAGGTCATTTTATATCAGATTTTAAATATAAAATTTTATGCTCATTAAATTTTTATGTCATGGGGTGATTTGTAGGTTCCCCGAGGGTGCACGGTATTATGTTATATGAAGGATTAAATGATGAGGGAGGAATTCTTTTGGTGGAGGTTTAAAAATGTAATGAATTGATGAGTCGTAAATCGGATTAGCTAGATATAAGTAATTAATACCCAGCCTCAACCCATCCCTCCATTTTCGGCCTTGTGCCAAAATTGTATTTTATATAAAATAAATCTAAGTATTTTGCACCCAACACACGTCCGAGCAAGTTTTGTTCCGGGAGGTGTCGTTTTTCCTTCTACAAAAACTATTTTCAAAATAAAAATATATATATATATATATATATATATATATATATATAGTCATCCGCAGACAGACTGTTCGCTGTATCACAGCTCATCAGTGTGGCTAGACATCCGGTTACCTCTACCTAGAATCGAAACCCGACTGAATTGGCGTCGTCAACATTCTACCACCCAAGTTGGCGCACGGCAGCAGATGGAGGTGAATTTAACATGTATTTATTTTTAGATAAACACAATAGTGACTGAGAGAACTCAATTCGATTTACCGAAGAGTCTTGCATTATTAAAGTAATCGTCACTGTTGACAAACTCACTTCCTCCCCAGAGAGCTCAACCGAAATAAATTTTTCAGGAGCATATTGAAACTAGCAGATTTTTTAAATCCTTAGGTGACTTCTGGGACAGCCTGTAATTTCCCCACCTCCTTGTGTTAAATCATATTTAAAGTGTAAGTAAAAATGAAGAAAAATAATTAAATATTTTCCTTGTGATTGTTCATGACTATGAAAAGGTACTGCCATTGATTGTCTCTCATTTCAGTCGACACGTTGCCCAAATATTCAATAGACGAGAACATATCAGGAGATTTCATATATTTATCGATGTTTTATTATTCACAAGTTTTGAACACGCTGTTGCCTCAGATCTTGGCATGGGTTCAACGATGTTCTTGAAAGACACGTCAGTAACTTGCGTTCCTGCTGTTATTATGGCATACCTTAATTCTTTTAGATTGGTTAGATGATTACGACCATATAGCCGGTTCTGGTGCGATCACCAAAGTTAAGCAACATCAACACCGGTCAGTAAGTAGATGAGATTCCGAAGCGGTCACCCATCTAGGGTGACCGCTTCGGAATAATTTGTCAGGTGTCACTTTATAATATGTGGAGGCATAGGTGGAAAGGCTTACGGCGATATCACGTTGAAATACCAGCTCTCGCACGATCACCAAAGTTAAGCAACATCAACACCGGTCAGTAGGTAGATGAGAGACCGCTTAGGAAGACAAGGTGCTGTGAGTATGGATGTACAGGTGGAATGGTTTACGACGATACCACGTTGAAACAGCAGCTCTCGCACGATCACGGAAGTTAAGCAACGTTGAGCATTGAAGATGGGTGACCGTTCGGAATATCACGTTTGTAATTGGAGGTATGGGAATGGCACGGCGATATCACATTGAAACACCAATTCGCATGACCGCTTCAACATTGGGTGTAGGTAGATGGAGTCGCTTAGGATGACAAGGTTATAGTATTGATTTCAGGTGGAATGGTTTAATTGTTGAAACAGTAATTTTATAACGAATGTAACGTTGAGCATTGTCAGTACCTAGATCATTTGAACAATCATTTTATAAGGTTGGTTTACTTTATAATTGGATCACCAAAATTAAGCAACGTCGAGTCCGTCAGTTCCTACATGGGTGACCGCTTCTGAATACCAGTTGTTGTAAGAGCTGGCTTACGGACATGTCACATTGAAACATCGGCTCTCGCAAGATCACCAAAGTTAAGCAACGTTGTGCCAGGTCACTATCTACATGGTTAACAGCTTCAGATTATTATGTGTCCCAAGGTATGGCTAACGGACATGCCATGTTGAAACACCGGCACTCCTACGTTCACCCATGTTAAGCAACGTCCAGTCTGGTTAGTACGTAGATGAGTGACCACTTGGGAATATAAGATGCTTCGATGTGCAGGTAGCATGGCTTGCGGCTATATCACTTAGAAACACCGCTACTTGTACGATCATCAAAGTTAAGCAACATCAAACCTGCTCAGTATCTAGATGGGTGACCATTAGGTACTGACCATTGTGCTTTAAGCTTGGATCTGCAGGTGGTATGTCTTACGACCATATCTCATTGAAACATCAGTACACGTGCGATCACCGAAGTTAAGCAACGTCGAACCTTGTCAGCATCTAGATGGGTGACCGCTTAGGAATACCAGGTGCTGTAAGCTTGGATGTGCGGTTGGTATGACATACAGCCATTTCACGTTGAAATACGGATTCTCGTACGACCACCAAAGTTAAGCATCTGGTTAATATCTAGATGAGTAAAATTTTATATATACCAGATATAATAAGCTTGATGTAGGATGATATATATATACGGTCATATCACGTGCAACACTAGTGGTCACCGAAGTTATATAATGTCGGGCCTAGTTAGTACCTAGATGAGGGACCACTTGGGAATACCAGGTGCAGTAAGTTTGTATATGCAGGTAGTATGGCTTACGGCCATATCACATTCAAACATCGGCACTCGTACGATCACTAAATTTAAGCAACGTCGAGCCTAGTCATTACCTAGATGAGTGACCTCTTGGGAATATCAGGTCGTCGTAGTGAATCGTTTTCTCCTTTGATGCCCTAAATGTATAGGCAGTGCCTTGATCGCAAGAACATCTACAGTAAATTTGCGCCCTGGCTCTAACAACATTTCTTCATTCTTGGGAGATCTTCTATTATCCCAGTTTTTAGGGATACCTATTTAACAAAATGTGATGGAAATAAAAGGAAGTAAAAAACAAAATGAACTGGACTAGATATTAAAAAAAAAAATTTTCTAAAAAATATTCAGCATCTCTCTCGTTCTAGATATGCATGTGTTTTTTTTATTGTTGTAAACAAAACCCATTCTGATGAAGACCTTAAGGGTGAAACGCGTCACAAGTAAACTTATTCACTTTGTTATATATAGGCACGGAGGAGTAGTGGATAGCGGCTCGGATTGAGAAATTTTCATAGAAAAGGACGAATATTTTCTATGAAAATTTCTCGGACATTCAGGCCGATAAATGTTATTTAATACTGTTTATTATAAACAGAGCATTTACTTAAATACTTGTATTTATAAAAACTACGTTAAACATAAAAA